GTAATTTGAGATTGATCGGACGGAATGAGAGACAGAGTAAGTTTTTTTTTTTTTGTTTTTTTTGAGACTCTCGTCAAGGGTTGAGAGTAGGATTAGGAAGGTCAGTGGCAAGTTGCATACCGTCAGTGTGCCCAACTTGGGACGTTTTGAACACGTTTTGTTGAATATTTCGGCGGCATATTAATATTTTGACCTGCGGTCTGGCGCAAATGAAAGATCTTTTAAAGCTGATTCCAATAGTCTACTTGTTTTTTCCCCAATTTTTTTTTATTTTTTTTTTATTTTTTTATTGGTGTCCCAAGTTAGGCGCATAGGTGCCCATCTTGGGACACCTGATTAAATTAGCTAAAAACGTCATGTTAGATGCCTAGAAGCAAACTTGGGACACAGATTGTCTTTTTATAAAAGAAAATGAGTCACTGGGCACAAATTTTGAGCTTTTAAATTTAATTTTAAGTATTCAAACAATATTACAAAAATATAGAACAAAGTCAAATTAGTGGAAATGACCTTGGTACTTGGTTTGGTTTGGACTGACCTGGTTTATCCTAGGTACTTATTAATAAATTACTTAATACTTATCAGTCTGGTAGGTAAGACACTTAAACAAAATGTTGCTAGGTAGGTACCTATCATAGTTTTGGTATTTACTTAATTGAACATATTAGACATTAGAGTTTTAATTAATACTTGTCGGTCAGGCACATCACAAACTTATGAGCAACAGTTTTATCACAGCTTAGGTAATTACCAAGGCTTACTTAGGCACTTAGTCGTGTTGTACCTATCTACCTGACTATGTACAATATGAGAAGAAAAATAACAAATTTAAGGTAAATTTACCTAATAAGAAGAAAAAAATTAAATATAGTCAAAAAATGAGAAAAGTAAAAAAGTACTTAAAAATTAAATTGACCGAATGAAGAACATGAAAAGTTTAAAGAATTGAATCTTACGTATACCTAGTTAATAAGATATAATTTGATAGGTAACATATATGGCAACGTAGTAAGAAAAGTTTGGTAAACATAACATCTACCCCTCCTGGGACACCTGTCTCAAGTTGTGGCCACATCAAAAAAATTCCGGAAATTTTAAGGTTATGAAATGAAAAACCAGTATCCAAAATGTCGGACTATGTAAACAACAAAGACATAAAGACGGAGCGCTAAAAGCAAAAAATGAAGCTTCTTTTCAATCACCTCTACTATTGGCTAGAGGATTGGCGGCGAAATCGGGACAAGTTTGAAATTCAAATGTAGGGCGGGAACTAAATAAAATTGCGGAAACAAAGTATTTTAGGTTGATTTTTGCCCAAATTCACTTACACACTCATATTTTTATAACTTTAGGTTAGTTTTGGTCCGTCGTCGACCGATTAATTTCATTTGGTAGTAACGGTCATCTACGACTGTAACGGCCTGTTTGAACCGGCAGAACCACCATGAGCAGAAGAAAAACTAACATTATCTGAGATTACTGCCTGTTACCGAGCAAAAGTAGGTGTATTATAATAGGACGCAGTCCCAACTTTCTCAGTACATTCGTTTTAGGCATTTTAAATACGTTTTGAAGAAGAGATGTGGAAAAATCAAGAGGACAAGTTCAAATCAAATTTCTGTTTGCCGCCATGGATTCCCGCGCTCATTTACACACTCACACAAGCACCCACCGCCAAACCAGGCTTCACTTTTTCCCTGTGCTTTTAGATACGAGCACTCCGTCTTTATGTCTTTGGTAAACAATCATCTCATCTAAATGCCCGAGGTCCCTGGAAAGTCCCAGGACTTCAACCGTCAATTCTCTTCAGTACACAGACCAGACATACCACGCACTATAATTTTTTTTCACAATAAATTATTTACCAAGAAAAACGTAAAAATATTAGGTATTTACAAAGAGTGGTAGCGGCCTCTGAGCACGTCAGTTCTTAGGGCTATTCCTGTCAAATCGGGTCTCAACTGCTAGTTGACGAACTACCAGTTAAAGGTAACTTTCAGTTCGACCTGAAGGAGAGTCTTGTCACTGATTTTCAACCTCTAGTTACTGAACAAAGACTACTTGCCAAATAGTGCATTAACATGATTTGTTCCCTCATATCCTACATCAGGTCGTATCTAATGTCTGGGAACCCTTGCCGAAAATTCAATTCGCAGTTGAACGAGACAACAGGACAACCCTTGCAAAGAGGAGGGTGCGGGTGGTGGGGTCCACAACCCGAGCCGAGGTAGTTAAATCAGGCTCTTTGTGAACTAGTGAAACGCGAAGAACCGGAACGAATGTTTTGTCTGAAGTCCTAGTTGAAACCCAACAGGCAGAAAAAGCACCAGTTGAAAATCAGCCCGTTAACAGCCTCTCAACCAGTAGTTGTAAATTGACAAGACACACCAACCTCTAGTTGAACCGTAACAGACAGTCAACTACTAGTTAAATGATTTGACAGGAATGGCCCTTAGAGTGGGATGTAGGTGATCAACAACAGCAAAAACATCAACAATAACACTCGAAACAGTGGTGCCACGGAGTTTCGAAAAAAAAATTCCCTAAATGCCCTAAGTTAGATGACCGTCCCAAGTTGGGCACACTGACGGTATTTCATTTTGTGATTTTTTAAGCGCAGCAGCCTTCAACTTCTTCTACAAGCACTGGCACCAGCACAGATGATTATTTATCAAGTCACTGTCATTCCGGGTCTACTAGCGGTCAAGTTGCATTACTTGCTGCGCTATCCCTACACTCATTACTGGAAGGGGCAGTTATTGGCGTGCAGCATGAGCCCATAGAGGTAAAGCCTACTTTTCTCACTTACCTAGTACTTTCCTATCTGTTTCAAAATGCCCTCCATTAGTAACCACTAGGATGAGAGATCTGCAGGCAAAGTTCATTTTTGCTTTATTAGTGGAGAAAAAAACAGATATGACTGATCAAATCTAAAGGGGCACCGTTAACGCGGACATGCCCTTTGACTAATCTTGGTGGCAAGCGGTTTAGCCGCAGGTGAGGTGGGTGACGTAGAAGTAATTACTGTTTGTGTCAACAACTGGCTGCGGGCCAATAGGAAAGACTTTTAAGAGACCGGGTGGAAGAAGTCGCTGCACCGTTTTCAAAAATGTAAGGATTGGGCAGATGCGACTACGTCGAGGAGTAGGGTAAAGTGTCCTAAATGAGTCTCACAACTTTTGTACTTAAGGAATATATTTATCTTACTTCTTCGCAGACTTAAACTTTCGTTTTTGCTTATTAAACCCTACAGCATGATAAAAATGGGCACGTTTGGAAATGAGGTCGGTATGGAAAATCTGTCATTACTTCGCACAACGGGTACCAACTTTTAAAAACTATAGCTCGTTGGCAAGCTGGTCGTTCTAAAGCCGGTCTGGGTTTTTTTCTGGCATCAATAGTTCCAGAGATATCAAATGGGTAAACTTACTTAAAAATCCACCAGCGTAAATAATTTTAATTAAGGATAGTCCTAATACTTTTCATTCATTTTGTTTCCCTCTCATACTAGGAAATAATGTTTACTCAAATACATTGTATGGAAACAATATTTGACCTTTGTCATGTGAAAAATGTTCTTATGGGGGTTCTACACTATCTAGGTCAGTAACCTTCTTAAATATTGCGTTGGTACTCTAAAAGGCACGTAGAACTTAGGGTAGACCGGGACATAGAATAATAGCCACCAGAAAGGTAACTGGCATATCCTCCCGTAAGATCTCGCTTAGTCACTTTTTTGAAGCGGACTTTCCTCTTTTTCCTCGCGAAATTTGAAACGGTAGGCTGAGCGGGGGTCACGGGGATTTCAAGAATCGGAGCAAAGATAGCCGACTGCTGCCCTTCTGTTAAGTATTATTCTATGACCGGGGTTATGTAGACACGGCGCGCGGCGGGTCAAGTGGACACTTGCTCCCAGCGTCGCCTCTCTTTTATACCTACATCTGTGGTAAATTCTTGTAATCGGTTTATAGGTCATGTTCACAAATTTGATTGTTATTTCAAGAGTAAATTTTCTGAAGTCCAATCCCAATTCCATCTGGGCATCTTAAAGTGAATCATCGCAGGGAGCGCCACCGCTGTGTTTTGATTTTTTGGTCCACACTATTAGAGTTCGTGCAGCTCCACGTGAGTCCTTGAGCTTTTATGAAAGTAAAAGGAATTTCTGTTAAAATCGAAGAGACATTCTAGCTATAAAATTCTTCTGAAACTTGATCTCAGAAAAAAGTAGGGTTAAGAATGATGACCTTGATGCAACCAATCGCGAGTGATGATCGCTCTCAGCAGTCGCAGGTATCTCTCTCCCACCGTGAGCTATCGCTCTCGCACTTATAGATATCTCATAAGAGAAACTGGGATCAAGTTATAGCTTTTATTATTAAACTTTCAAATCTCGCGTTTGTATCTAAGCATTACAGACGTATGCTGCTAGATCTTATGAGTCTTAAAATTTAATATATCTATTGTGATATAGGTGAATCTTCAGCTGTAGTTCCGAAAAAATCCACCACGTCGCGCTGCTAAAATCCGGCTCCGAAATCAGTGATTATTTAAATATCACGATGGATATATCAAATTCTAAGACTCCTAAGTTCTAGCAGCATACGTCTGGAATGCTTAGACACAAACGCGAGCTTTGAAAGTTCAATAATAAGAGCTATAACTTGATCCCAGTTTCTCTTACGGTATATCGGTAAGTGCGAGAGAGATAGCCCACGGTGGGAGAAAGATACCTGCAACTAGAGTACCTGTACAGGTACTCTACCTGCAACTGCTGAGAGCGATCACTCGCGATTGGTTGCATCAAGGTCATCATGCTTAACCCTACTTTTTTCCGGGATCAAGTTTCAGAGCTTCAGAAATTACTTTTCAAGTCTTTTTTACTGTCGATAGGCAGAAGAATTTAATAGCTAGAATGTTTCTTCGATTTTGACAGAAATTTCTTTTACTTTCATAAAAGCTTACAAGGACTCACGTAGGGCTGTACGGACTCTAATAGCGAGGACCAAGAAATCAAAACACAGCGGTGGCGCTCCCTGCGCGGAAAAAATTCTTGCTACGCACCGCTGTAGATTCACCTTAAATAATCACTGATTTCGGAGCCGGATTTCAGCAGCGTGATGTGGTGGATTTTCTCGGGACTACAGCTGCTGGAGATTCACCTTAAATTCAGGATAAAATATCGGTAACCACACCATCACTTTCCTCATTTCATTGTCCTCTTTTGTAGCATTTACTATATTGATTGGCAAAAATGAAACTTTTTAGCGAAACTATTTGTGATAAATGTCAAGTTGGGGCTAAGTGGACACATGTTGGGTGCGTTTAACTGGACAAACCAGTTGCTGTATAAAAGAAGTCGGTAATGAAGCCTGCTGACCAAAACTACTTTTTCATATCTTTCAGTACTCAACAGTAGTATTAGCTCGCCACAGCAAAAGAGCAACACCTCGTGGAGACTTCGGTTTTTTTTTGCTAAATTATTTATCTATTTTTTTTTTTTTTTGTTTTGTTTCATAAATCTACTAGAATAGGATTGAAAAATAAAAGAGAATAGCCTCAAGTCTCGATACAAGATGTTTTATTTCAACTTATCTTTGCCTCTGTTTTGTTTCTTACAGTTATATCAAGTTTTTTCCTTTAAAAATATGCAATCATTGCATAGGTATGTCCATATGACCCACCCCTTGTGTAGAGTACCTGTATAGGGAGAGTACCGACAGATCTGAAACTCCAAAATTCCGTCAGGCCCTCACAGATGCCTCCGCGAATAAAGTAAGGGCCCAAAAGGGCAGCCAACTTATGAATTTGAACTATCCATAGCGATTTACTGATACTATTGTTACGAACCGTCCTTTATTAAGCACGTGTTTGACTCAGTTTTTGCATAAATTTACTCAATTTCGCGGAAGAACGCTCATTTCTGTACATTCTTGGCCATCTTGGTTAGAATTGGAATCTGCAGACTGGCAGTGAAATTTTGTGCGTTAGAAGTTGGTTAGAAGGGTGGCTGCACTTTTGGGCCCTAAGCCCTCCATGAACCGATCTGTCGGTACTCTCCCTATACAGGTACTCTACCCTTGTGTCTAGTCAATCCACCCCGTGAGGTTCACGAGACACTCTCTCATTTTTCACAAATCTGCAATTTCGACAAAACCAACCCTCATAATTCGATTCAAGTACGAAATTGTTTCATGATAGCCAATGGTATACTGAACATCATAGTGCAATTAGATTTTATTTTTCTGCAGCCCAAAAATTTTTATAGCCTTCCAAAGAAAAAATGGATCCACTTAATCCCGTTCTACCCTTCTTTAGTTTCAGCATCTATGACCTCAGACCTGGTTTTTTCACTGATTTTACTTTAATTTAACAGATATTATTCCTAACGAGTGTTGTTGCCAGCCATAAAATTATTGTGTCTCTGTGTCTGGGAATGGAATTAGCAGCTCAGTACTGCTCCTTAAAGCGGCACCTAGGAGCTATACTTTTTTTCATTTTCGGTTCAATACTAGGCATTGTTATCGGCATGTCAGTCCACATTCAAAACGCAGTCAACAGTAATTCTCTTTATATTCTCCAGGTAGGTAACAATTTCTTTTTAATCTTGTATATTAGTAAATCTTGAAAATGAGATCTTTAATTTTAAAATTTACAAAAATACAAGGGTCATTCCACGTCAACTCAAGCAGGCTCGGTACCCGACCCCCTCAGATTTGGCTGAAAATTGGTATACAGGGTCTTTACATCATTCTAAGAGACCGATTTGAAGGGTTTTCCCATCCGACGCCCCGTTCGCGAGATATCGACCCCCAAAGATGCGTAAATTTTAGCGATAGGTATTCAAAAAAGCCCGTTTTAGCGATTCTCGTTTTCTCGACTTCCCTCTCTTTGACTCTCCATAGCGAGACTCTGCATCAATCCATCATACCTACTTTGAGAGAGTGTTTCTAGACCACTTTTTCATGTGGATTCTGAATAAGCCATCGATATTGAGCTAAAAATTATTTAAATGGCCGTAATTTAGGGTGTTTTAAATTTTTTTTTTTTTTTTTTGCCTTTCAATGTTCAAACTGAATTATCCAAAATATGGTCCCTCCGATTTTCGATATTTTTTTATATTTCAAGCTGAAGATTTATACTTTCGGTTGATATAATTTTTTCAATTGCTATCGGACGGTTAGGTAAGGGCCTAAAAAAATTCAAATAGGCCACAAAAGGTTAAAAATTGGTAAAAAAAAAAGGACGATTTTTTACATGTTAATCCCAATATTTCGATAATGAACGCTTCAATTATCGATATTCTCCCCCAGCTTACCCTCTAAGATGTATACAATCAGACTATCAACGCTTTCCATACATTCACCGATCGATTAACGGCCTGATGGAAACCGGGAACCGACCATCGAAATTGACGCAAAAAGACGATTTTTCACACCGTAACCGATGCACTTCATGGATTGTAACTGCAATTTCCAATTTTCCCTCTCTATTTCAACCTCAAGGTATACAGGGTGTAACAAAAGTCCGTCCCACCCCTGCTAACTTTTGAACGAATTGAGCTAGAGAAATGAAACTTTGGGAATGTTCCTATCTCTTTGGGGGGATCAAGATTTTGGTCCCTCTCAGGGAAGGGCGCGGGGCGCCCCCATCTTTTTTTTTCGAATGGCAACCCCTATCTTGTGATACTGCATTCGAAAGAGCATAAAAAACTAAGAATTTTGGCGCTAACCGCAGATCAATATCTTAATTTTTGACCGAGTTATGACAGGTGAAAAGTCAAATTTGACCTATTTTCAAAAAATCATAACTCCGGTTAAAATTATCGTAAAGAAAAAAATAAAACGGGAAAATTTACCAAATTGTGTTCGCTTCCAAGTTCCAAAATTGCAGAAATCACTTCGAACTAATTTTAAGGGGGGGGGGAGTTCAGACCCCCAAATAGATATTGATCTGCAGTTTGCACCAAAATTCTTAGTTTTATATGCTCTTTCGAATGAGGTATCACAAGATAGGGGTTGCCATTTGAAAAAAAAAGTTGGGGGGACCAAAATTTTGATCCCCTCAAAAGATGGTACTCTTTGAGATAGGAACATTCCCTAAGTTTCATTTCTCTAGCTCAACTCGTTCAAAAGTTGGCAGAGGTGGGACGGACTTTTGGTACACCCAGTATACTTTCGAGTAATAAATACTAACTAGCGTGCATTGATGGGGCAGTGATATTACCCTGATCAGAACGCAGGAGTAACCGCAACGCTGTTGACTGCACAGTGGCTCCCGTGCTTGGCAGCTTTCGGCACTGCACGGAGCAACCCGCAATCGCTTCGTAGCGATATCCGCCGGAGCGATTCGCTTAGGCAAGCCCTGGCGGTATCCCTTGGGGGTCTTCACCGCGCTTCAAGCGCACAACCTGAAGACGCCGCGCCCACTGTCGCGGATTGCCTGCCCATCAGGCGACCATCGCCTGGTCTAGCCAGCTCAAGCGCTCGGATGAGCTTCCATCTCCGGCTTTACAACCCGGAGCTGCTTTCCGTCCTGCGCGCTTAAAATCACGTGCCTGCGCGCAAATATATGGCCCTCCGAGCCGGATCTTCTGAGGCAAGCACAATTCCTCGCACACACACAGCAGACATCAGTCCTCTGGACATGCCACTCGCTTCCAACTTTCCAGGATGGCAGACGGCGGAGAAAACTCCAATCAAAACGAATTCGTGCTGGATGTTGCAGCGCGCATATCCTCGCTCTCGCTGAAGGCTGAAAGGTCGATGGTGCTGGCACAGGTGAGAGCCATCCACACCACTCTTACCCGAGAGATCCCAGCGGAAGAAATAGAGACCTTCCGGCCGTCCTTCAATCGTTTGGACGTGCTGAGAGAACGCCTCGAGGAGTTCCAGGATCAAATAATCCTGTTGAATATCTCTCTGCCACCCGAGTCTGAGATTGAGGTGGAAATTCTGCAGGCTCAATTATTTGACCGCCTCTTTGAGGAGGCCCAGCGCTCATTCCTGCGGAAGACGCAGCCCGCTCTGGCAGGCGTTTCCACGCTCAACAATATTTCTTTCTCCGTGTCCTCCGTCCGCCTGCCAAAGTTGGAGCTCCCAAAATTCAGCGGAGATTTGGGCGCATGGCGAACCTGGTATAACCTTCACAAGGCATCGGTTCACACCAGCCCCTCACTCCTGGCAGTCCAGAAGTTTCAGTATTTGCTCGGCAGCCTAAAGGGTGACGCTCTCGCGCTTATCACCGGGCTAGACATCACAGATGCCAATTACGACGTCGCTTGGACGTTGCTCTGTGAACGCTACCATTCTGAGCGTCGCCACGTGTTCCATCACTATAATGGGCTCCTAGACCTCCCTGATGCCCAACGCTTCGAGCAAGTACCCGCGCTGATCACGAAGATCAGGGAAAATTCCCAAGTGCTCCAAGCACTCGGTCACCCTCCCGGCCTCCCCTTCCGAATCTTACAGCGGACTGCTGACCGCCCCAATAGTGCGAAAATTGTCCTATCGCCTGAGGCAAAGGCTAGGGAACTGCCGAGGTGCTGATCCCTCTTACCCCAAGCTGGACGAACTCTTTAGCTTCCTGGAGATGGAACGTCGCAGCACCGAGGATAGCCCTCCCAATCGCAGAGAGGCTAAGGCTCTAGTTTCATGCCGTGAGACTAATGTCAATCCCGCACCCCGCAAAAATAGAGCCAAGTCTCGCTCACCCAACGGCACCAAAGTTTTGGTATCATGCGATGGGTCGTCTAATAGCTCTGACTCCTCGTCTGAGCACGAGCAAGAGGACAGAGACGATCACAGCAAGCCTCAGGCCGACCGCGCACGCCAACCGCAGTGCCTTTGTTGCCCAGAAAGACACCGACTCTTTGACTGTTCCGCCTTTCGCGCCAAACCCATTTCTCAGCGTCGAGAATTCATAAAGAGTGCAAGTAGATGTACCTATTAGCCCTTTGTTGCATGAGCGAATCGTTGATTTTGGAGAGAAAATCTACATTGTACAGTATTTTTTTGACACTAGAGTCGGTTGGAATCGATTTTTATGGTTTTTTCTAAGCAAGGAGATCAGACTTCTAATGTTCCCCAAAAATTATTTCTTGCTTTGATTCAATTTAATACTCTAGCATAGAAATAAAGCTGAAAAACATTTGTTGCTTTCATGCAACACTATGCAATAAAGGGTTAATTGTCTGAACACTCATTTTGTCGAGTCGTGTGTCTCACCTCGGCGTTACATGCTTTATTCCAAAAAGCACCACACTCTTCTCCACGAAAAATCTCCGGCAAACAACTCTGACGACCCGGATGCCACTTCTGACAGCCCGGCGTCCTCAGGTTCCTCCCAGGAGAAGGTCCTGCTGAGTACCAGCAAAACTTCTTCTACCGTTCTCTTGGCCACCGCAAGACTGCGCATTAAAACTCGCAAAGGATCGGTTTTGGTCCGCGGGATTTTGGATTCGGCCTCGCAAGGTACTCTGATCACCCGCGAGTGCGCTGACAAGCTCGGTTTGAATGTCCAGTCTCCTATGAATGCAATGAGTGGCTTATTGTTAGCCGAGAATCGTGTCGAAACCTTTGGCCGTTTCCACGTCACGCTGGCATCTGTGCGCCACAAGCCTGTGGCCAAGAACCACCCAGTCACTGTGGTCCAGACGATCACAAACCCCACTCCTTCCACGGCCATTGCCGCCTCGGTTAAGGATCTAGTTAAGGGCTGGAACCTTGCCGACCCTACCTTCGATCAGCCAGGCCCTATAGACGTGCTAATCGGCGCAGAATTATTCTCTGCCCTCGTCATCGGTCCACCGCACCCGCTAGGACCCTCGCTTCCCACGGTGTTTGTAACACCCCTCGGAGCTGTCTTAATGGGCCCAGCCCCGATGTGCGAAAGAACTCAAACCTCACTGATTACATGTTCGTTTAACGCAATACCTCCCCGGGTTCCGGTGATCCAGGATGGATCCCGCAAGTCTTTAGATTGGAGAGAAACAGAATCCTCTAAATTCTCGTTACTCCCGAAGAAGCCCACAGAGTGCGTCTCTTGGAGAGCTACCAGAGAGCTTAACTGTGTCCACACTTCAGACAAGCTCTCTGACGACAATTGTCTCCGAGAGAACGCAAAAAAACCCGCGAAGCCACGCTTCACCCCTCCCATCAGACGACGCCCATCGAAAGGGCCCTTCCTAAGATATGCTCGTCCCCAAGTAGCATTTCTCAAATTTGACTCATGGTGCCAGGAACGAACTATTCTCCATACTGCAGGCGGGACAACCGCAGTCCGGCCTAAAAATACTCGTCAGCTAAGTATCAAAAACTCTTCATGTGAGCAAGAACTGATACAAGGATCTACGAAAGAGACAAAAGCGTTACAGCAATCATGCCTTAAACCTCCAGTTGCTTCTAAATCCCAGGAGACAGTACCCTGCCGCACTGGCAGGCAGCCTGCCCAACCTGCCCCTCAGCGGTCAGACCACCCTGGAGCAAGGTCCCGCCGGCGCAGGCACCCGAGATCGCCACGTTCCCCCGGACGCCGCCACTGGCCAAGGCCCAAGGCCGTGACCACAGACGCCCGCAGTTTTGAGCCTCTCTCGTCTTTCCTAATTTATATTTGCGATCTCTTGTAGTTGTCCTCATGCACTGTACTTGTATTGTCTTTTTTGTAAATATCTAATATCATTGTTCTCAGCGAATTTGAATTTTTTCTTTATTTTTCTTATTATGAGCCCTTTACGGGCCTCATGGGGGGGGGGGCGGTACATGTTCACGCCATGAACATGGCTCGGCCAGCACCGGCCTCGCCGCCGGCCGGCTCCGCGCCGCGGTCGCTCCTTCCCCGCGACCCGCGCTCCCCCCTCCCTGCCGCCGCGCTCCTCTTCTCGCGGCCGCGCCTCTCCCCACGGCAGCGCTCCCTCCATAACCCGCGCGGCCCACCTCCAGGCGTTGTTTCCGCTCACCACTAGATAGCGCCCGCGTACCGGTTCTGGACCGTTCCGCCACGCTCGCCCGTCGTCTGCTTTTGACGACATCCCAGCGGCGTGGCCCATGATAACTGTGAATCACCGTACACTCCATCTACTGAGACTAAGCACTTCGGTAAGTGTACCCCCGCATTACAGCATACGTTACGCGGATTTTCACCTTGTTCTTTTCAGGTCTTCACGAAGAAACAACCGGTCATCACCATCCCACCAGACGCGGTATCCGCATCTTGAACCAAGCCCTGTAAGGCGCTTATAGTCCACGCTACGAAAAGTGGCGGGTGAGGGGCGGAGCCAGTCGGCCGGTGCAGTCTTCTGTTGAAGGGTTGAAGCGCAGATATTGGCCCGTGGTTGAGCGACGACCGGCCGGGGAGAATTCACACTGAGCGCGCCTTGATCCCGGCGCCCCACTGTGGGCCAGATCGTGTCCGTAGCGGCGCGAAATGCAATTTTTCGACATTTTTTTTTCCTCATCAAAGCCATCTTAATCGATGCTCAGATACCTACTGATAACGAAATTACATGGGAATATCTAAAATAATTATTATAACTGCGGTTTTCACGTAGATAGATATGCAGCATGTGGAATGTGATGAACCCAGATTTCTGCAACCTGAGGCGCGCGTTGTATACTCACTTATTTCACAGTGCACTTGTGAACCTCACACCATTATATGCATCTGACTGGTAAACTCCATTGCATGACGAGTACCTATTTTCGCTTTTGCAGACCCCAAAAATATTGATTTTTAGCTGCAGGGCATGAGATCAAAGTTGCCCGAAAAATAAGCCTTAAAAAATGAATTTTTCAGAATATTGTAGACTGGGAAAGTGTCATTGCGGTTCGTTGCGCGGTTCTCTTTGGTATTTTTAGAAAGCATATATCCTAGGGATACCATATACCAAAGCACAAACGGTACAAACCGGTACAACCATATTTTTCGGATGCTTCTTTGAGGTGACCTCCAATTTCCGCGAAAATCAGATAAAGAGGTTATAAGGAACCACGGTGCACAGTAAAGCGGCCAATAAAATATTTCAACACAAATTCATGTTTTAAGGGTTTTTAAGGTTTCTAATAGCATTTCTCGCTCTTTCGATACTTTACGGAGGAAGGAGGGGGAGGGAGAGGCCGACCAAAATCAGACAGTCAAAAATGTGTTACGGTCATTAATTTTCTTGAGCGTAGTAAATAATAATAATTTTTTTTACATCCGTTCACGCATTCAGCCCAAATAGGACTGGTTTTAAACCAAATTGGCAATGAATATGAAAATTCTATCATCACATGGCACCTAAGTTTAGAGTGAGTTGACCGTCGCTGGGGAGAATACGCGGCGCGATGCGTCGCGCTGTATGCCACCCCGGGCGCCGAGATCAAGACGCGCTCAGTGTGTGCTCACCCTGGCCGGCCGTCGCTCGATGCGTGGCTGGGGTAATAACTGGGCCAATACCTGCGCTTCAACCCTTCAACAATAGGACTGGACCGGCCGACTGGCTCCGCCCCCCACCCGCCACTTTTCGTGGCGTGGACTATAGCTGTTCAGCTACACAGCGCAAGGCTCCCGGTTGCATCCTGCTGCTTCACAGCCCAGCCGCAACGCTGTTGACTGCAAAGTGGCTCCCGTGTTTGGCAGCTTTGGGCACTGCACAGAGCAACCCGTAATCGCTTCGTAGCGATATCCGCAAGAGCGATTCGCTTAGGCAAGCAGTGGGGTATCCCTTGGGGGTCTTCACCGCGCTTCAAGCGCACAACCTGAAGACGCCGCGTCCACTGTCGCGGATTGCTTGCCCATCAGGCGACCATCGCCTGGTCCAGCCAGCTCAAGCGCTCGGATGAGCTTCTATCTCCGGCTTTACAACCCAAAGCTGCTCTCCGTCCTGCGCGCTTGAATGCCTGCGCGCACAACAGAGCCTTCAGAAATATTACACTGTTCAGCGAGTTAGGAACGACCATTTTCGAGCACTTTTGCCCGCATTTCTTCCACGTGGCAAATGTCAGTTGCCATTGATGGTCGATTCCCATGCTCCTCATCTTTGAAGGACCCCTGACCAGTTTTGAATCCCTTAACCCACCCAAAACAGTGAGAACAACTCATACAATGATCTTGGTAAACTTTACTTAGCATACCAAAAGTTTCGGTACAGCCGAGTTCAAAACAAAATTTAATAGTTAAACCTTTCTTCTATCAGTGATCGCATGATGCAAATCGCAGAACGCACCTGACTTACTCGTATTCAAGGTGACACAGAATGAACACCGATCAAAATAAACAAAATCTGTGAATCTAGCCTTCTTCAGTAGGTATGTTATCATGTATCAGGAAAGTCCAAGGAAACCTGATTCGGACGCACAATGGGCTAGTTATCACCAAAATCCGATTTCTAATCTAACAGACCTCGTACATTAGAGTTGTCAGTAAAAATGGATAAAAAACCTGATACAGGCCAAAAATGGCAACAATGGACCGCGAGGCCCCTAAAAATTCATGGGATGCCTTTATGAAGGTTAGAAATGGAATGTATGCAATAAAATATATAGGAATGACCTCGTGAAGCTTAAGGGAGGAAGTGTGCAGACGACTCCGAGCGGTGAGCGGCGCCCGGATTCCAGTCGGCGCGCGCGGAGCGTAAACCTAGATTCCTCATATATGTATATTTTCTTTTGCCAAAAATTCAAAGTCGAAAAAAATTATTAGTTTGTGAAAAGTGGTGTTAAGTTTACTTTCTACACTGAGTCTTATGGAGGAATAAAACTTCAAACCTCTTTTTTCACAGTTTCATTTTGATGTGGATTGGTTCCTTTCTGATAAACTCGGTCCATTTGACCACCACATTGAATATTTTATTCAAATTCATTGCCCCTTTCTGCGTTCCAGCCAAGTCAGTCGCGGTCAATCGGTAAAAATGAGGGCAGAGCCCCCAAAACACATCAACAGAAATAATAATTTGTGCAAGTTAGTTCCATTAAAATTCTGTTTTTTTAACGCATTTTGTGCAGTCTTGGTGAAACATGTGATTTCAACCATCTTATCTTTACTATCTTTACAGGGGCTGGCAGGAGGAACACTCTTGTATGTTACTGTATGTGAAGTTCTTCCTAGAGAGAGAGCAAGATGGCAAACAGTGCAAGGCGCTGGTTTAGTCCAATTTGCTGCTGTTTCGACCGGATTTGGTCTATTAGTTTTTTTTAACTCCAAATGTTAAGATTTTAATGAGCTCAAATAATTTTTTCTTATCATCACAACTGAGAGTTCTTCTTTTAAAAATCTTGGTAGCCTGCTTATCTGTAAAGGGTATCCCGGGATAAGCATGTCAAAATGCCCTTGTGAATGGACTTTTATTTTAACCATTTTAAGTCATCAAGGGTGTCCTAAAACTTAGGTTTTGGGGGATTTTAGCCCCCCAACCCCCTCCGCCCCCCCTCGGACTCCCAAAAACCGCTTTTTTGGGCTATTTTTGACTATGCTAACGTCATTTCCTCATAACTTTCGTAATTTTCGATAGAATTGAACCAAAATTTGTCAGAATCTACATCAATTAGCTTAGTTTTTGTAGACAAAATTCATTATCATCGGATAATATTTTAGCCTCCAAAAAAATTCGTAAAATTTTTGAAAAAATCATTTTTTTCCTTTTTTCGCGGCTAGGTGGCGTATGGAAACATGCACACAAACAAAAATTGTCTCTTTTCTTAA